CGGAAGCGATTCGCCCGACATGGCTTATAGTTCTATCGATCTCTATTGATCTTTATATATCTATCTATATATATATATATATATAAAGATATAAATAGAGAGATATATCTATTTAATAATAAAGAGAAAAGTATCTATGAATGGATAAGGGGGGGTTTGGTATGCAGCTTGGGTTGGTTGTCGGGGGAGTGTTGGGATCGGTTTGGAGGGGAGGGGGGGTCAAATAGGTGCCCCTACGCGCACACGAACTATGGGTTCAAGCTCGCTTCAGGGCGTGTTGGGCGAATGGAGAATCAATCGATAAATATTTATGCGTATTCTATGTCTGACTGTATTCTGATAGACGCCCTTTTTTTATTTCTTTTTTATTCGTTTAAACCTAATACAACATCGAATACAATACCTGAGTGCGCAACTTTATAGGAATCCTATGGTACAACCGAGAAAGAGGGGGTAGACGTATGGGTAGGGTGTCGGGAAGAACAGGAAACTCAACGCATCACGCACACTACGCGCTCTTCGTACCGATTTCGCGAAATGAGTAGATAATACAGAGCAACAATAAAGAGGAGAAAAAAAGAAAATAAACAATCCAATGAAAATCGTGGAGGAGTCCAAGCTGGCTGCTGCCGTGTAATGTTAAAACCCGGAGAGAACAACAACAACAAAAAACAAAGGAGGAGACCACCGAACGCTATACTTTTCCTCCCCCTCCTCTCCCTGTCCACACCCACCCACCCACCCACAAATATAGCAGGTGATCGATTCGTGTTGACTGCGGAATCCACCCGAAAAAACGGGCAGCTCCCCCAATCGTTTATTCTTCTTTACTTTTACAGGCTATACGGCTTGATCCTTTAACGAGAGGAGTAAAAAATACATCGTTTTTTTTTTGTTGTTGTTGTTTCTATGTGTGTAATAGTAAACCGACGATCTAAAAGAAAATTACGCAGTGCCCCTCGTCTCCTTTTTTTTGGAGTAATATACATCAAATAACATAAAACCCACCCTAACTCGCGCGAAATGCCCGGTGCGCAGCCCTTTTCTTCCCTTCCCGCGCGCGGATGTTTCGCATTCCCCTTCTACCCCAAGAAGGGAAAAGAAAAGGGCCTACATCGCGGCCTTGGGCCCGCCCTCGCTGTTGGTATCGTAGTCCTCGAAGCCCAGCATATTCTGCGCGAAGAGGCGGGCCGTCATGAAGTCCTCGAGCATGTCGAGCTGGACGCCCTCGCCGAGGAGGGAATTGAGGGCCCCCGCGATCTCCGCCTCGTTCAAGGCCTCGCCTTTGGTCCCGAGGCGGTCAAAAAGGGTCCGGGTGGCGATCTGCAGCGCCCCGCGCTCGGCGCCGAGGGCGAGAAAGGCCTGCTCGATATCCCGCCGCGAGATCCCGAAGACCGGGCGGTAGTTCACGTAAAGCCGGAGAAACTGCTCGAAGTCGAGCAAAATGCGGTCGACGTTGACGTCCCCGAGGGTTTGGTCGCGCGGGCCGTACAAGTTCGCGACCTCGTAGGTCAAATGCCCGATCTCCATCTCCGTCGGGTAGTACCCGAGCGCGCGCATCAAATTCGCGACCTGGGCGAAAGGCACCGCGCCGAGGAGCTCGTGCTTGGCGGTCGTCTCCTCGCCCTGGTCGCGAATTTGGGCGTAGAAGAAGTAGTCGACGATTTCTTTCATCAGTTTCCCCCCTGGGCCGCCTTCGAGGGCGGCGATGAGGTGGTCGGCCGGGACGCCGCTCCCGAGCGGCGCGCGGGCCGCGCGATCGCACTTTTCCTGCTCCCCTGGCGGTAAAACCCGCGCGGGGTCGAGCCGCCACTGCAGGACGGACCGATCCGCCCCGCCGGCGGTGAAGACGACGGCGCCGTCGTGCGAGAGGGCCGCGTCGACGAGGTCGCCCGGGTGGGCGAGCAGGCCCAGCGCCGCGCGCGGGTTCCCCCGCAACGGGAGCTGCACCAGCCCCATCACGCGGTCCTCCGTGAGGTAGAACAAACACCGCCGAGGGGCCGTCTTTTCTTCACTTTCCTCCGCATCGTCGTCTCCTTTTTTGGAAGATTCCGAGGCGCCTGGCTTCGGAGGGAGAGGGGGGCCCGAGACGACGGCCAGGCGGGTGATGGGGCCGCCGAAGGTCGGGGCCAGGACCGTCTTCACGCACTGCCGGGTCCAGTCGCTGGTGTAGACGTTTAGTTTGTACTCGTCCGTCGCGATGACGAGGAGGTCGCGCGGGGGGTGGGCGAGAAAGGCGCGGTCCGAGAGGCTGCCGAGGCTGCCGGAGGGCAGCTCCCCGCGGCGCAGCCCCGTGGCGTCGTCCTCGGCGGCCGCGAGCTCGCGCGGGTCGAGGATGGCGTCGTCGTCGGCCCACAGAAAGGCGGTGGGGCGGGCCCCTTGGGTGATGCGGTGGGCCGCCCGCGGCAGCAGCCCTTCCTCCGCGCAGGATTTCAGCAGGTCGAACTCGATCAGCCGCCGGTCTTGGCCGACGGAGAGCAGCCGCAGCCCTTCCCCCCCGGGGCCCGCGCGGAATTGAATCGCGCAGATCGCCGCGCGGTGGGTGCGGTGGTAGCCGATGAACTCCCACTCGCGTGGCGGCGGGGGTGGCGGGCGCCGCGGCCCCCC